ATTAATTATAATAATCTACTTCTAGAATATTTTGTGTTTTCTTTGTTTACAATCATTATCTGCTAAATAACAGAATTTTTCCCCTCTTTTTTGATCTTTAGACCATTTTTTATTTATTTACTTAAGTCTTACTGGTCACAATTCAAAGTAAGGGACTTAGATCTGAGTGTTGGATTTGACTTCTAAAATTAATATTTGCTAACAAGAGCAATTTTCGATTTTTACTTACCTTATAGCTAAACACTGCAGCTTCTCCCTTTATCTCTGATTTGTTCCTTCTTTATTTTGGTCTTGTAGTGTTTCTTTACTTTTATGAGTACAGCAATGCTATAATGTTTGTTTTCTCTCATATTTAGCTATTTTAAAGGTAGATATCAATCTTTCAAGGTATCTGATCTACAACACTGGCAGAAGTACATCTATGAAATAATTTTGATGAAAAGAATTATTTTTGACAATGATTTTTTTTGTTCTAACAATAATAATCTCTCCCTTAGGAATTGGTGTGCTTATGTACATACCAGGTTATCGCCCACGGTGATACTGGACAACCAGATCCCTTATATTCCAGGTGGGAGAGGATCCTGCGGTTGGACCAGTGGATCTTGTCCTCAGAGGTATGTGATGTTTCTTGAAAATAGATTCTGCGTGCACTGCAATAATTTATGTCCTGGAATATATAAAGTTAGTAATCCCAGATACATATGTGTAGTAAGGTGAGGAGATGGTAATCACATTAGACTAGATATATGACCTTCAGTAAGTTAAAATGCAGATACTAATAACACTTGTCTCATATGGTCATTTTTAGATGTACTTTCTCATCTCTCAAGTTTTAAAATGCGATAACACAGTAATATACCTAGCCTAGTGCCTTGTGCTTTGTGAGTGTTCAATAAATGTTAACTCTTACGCTTGTTTCCGTTTTTACTATCACTATTACTTTTATTTTATGACCTGATGAGCAATCCTGTCCTTTAATTCCTTATGAAATCCATATACAAATTCAAATATTTATTGATAATTTTCTTTTCATACTAGTTCAGAGAGAAGTCCATAATTTGGCTCAGATTCTGAAATTTGGAAAGCTACTAGTCGCAGTTATGCATGGTAAAGCTACTAAGTGAGGCCATTCTTCTTGTGTCTATTTTAATAGCCCATGTTATTTGATTTTCTTTTTTTAAAAAAAATCTATGTCATTGTCCTAAAATGTGAGGCTAAGTAATTGATAAATACTCTGAATTCACATAGTCACAATAGCTCAGCTGGGGGTGTTTCTGAAGAGCCTGCAATAAAATCTAAAATTGGTATTCAGGCCATGATGGCTAATGTTATGCAAATTGTCATACAAATAAGTCAGGCAATGAATCTGACACATCAGCAATCTGGAACAGTGCACAGTAAGGATACATAAAATCAAGGTGTTTCTTAGTCCCTTGAGGAATAGCTCAGGTTCATGATCCAGAAAGATAAGCACATCTCAGGGATCTGGGAGAGCTGTGCTCTAGTTCTGCTTTCTGCATATACTCCCTCTGTGACAATTTCCTCGTCAACATGAGACACAAAGAACACATTGTTAATTCTTCAGTAATGAAAATCTTATCACAGTAACCCCTATCATACTGCCCTTCTGGGTTCAAGGTGAGCTCTTATTTTTTCTTCTCTTTAAACAAACCAGAAATATTTATCTTTATTCTTATCTCTTATCTTTTTAAGCCTTTGAATGTCTCTCTTCATTCATTCACTATTTCAATACTTACACAATATTTGGTACTTTCTTTAATCATGTTAGAGCTACATACAATAGATACTCAGTTTGCCAAAGCAAGAATATCGAATTCAACAATAATTCAAACATCTTCTTGAGCTCACCCTTACAAACTCTAAAAAGTCCCTTTCCAAACTGCCTTACTTCCTATTTGGCTTTCTTTGTTTTTTTTATTTCTACATATTGGGGGGTACAAATGTTTAGGTTACATGTATTGCCTTTGCCCCACCTGAGTCAGAGCTTCAAGCATGTCCATCCCCCAGATGGTGCATACCACACCCACTAGGTGTGAATATACCATCTGTTCCTTCCCTACTCCACCTGCCTGACACCCTATGAATGTTACTACTATATGTGCACATAAGTGTTGATCAGTCAATACCAATTTGATGGTGAGTACACGTGGTGCTTCTTTTTCCATTATTGTGATACTTCATTTAGTAGAATGGGCTCCAGCTCTATCCAGGATAATAAAAGAGATGCTAGATCACCATTGTTTTTGTTTTTGTGGCTGAACAGAGAACTCCATGGTATACATATACCACATTTTATTAATCCACTCTTATATTGATGGGCATTTGAGTTGTTTTCACATCTTTGCAATTGTGAATTGTGCTAAACATTCTAGTGCAGATGTCTTTTTTATAGAATGTCTTTTTTTCCTTTGGGTAGATGCCCAGTAATGGAATTGCTGGATCAAATGGTAGTTCTACTTGTAGCCCTTTGAGGTATCTCCATATTGCTTTCCACAGAGGTTGTACTAGTTTGCAGTCCCATCAGCAGTGTATGAGTGTCCCTTCCTCTCCAAATCCATGCCAACATTTATTGTTTTGGGACTTTTTGATAAAAGCCATTCTCACTGGAGTTAAGTGATATCTCATTGTGGTTTTGATTTGCATTTCCCTGATGATTAGAGACGTTGAGCATTTTTACATGTTTGTGGACCATTAATCTGTCTTCTTTTGAAAAGTTTCTGTTCATGTCCTTTGCACACTTTTTGGTGGGGTTGTTTGATTTTTTTCTTGCTGATTTTCCTGAGTTCTACATAGATTCTATTTATCAGCCTTTTATCCGATGTGTAGCATGAGAATATTTTCTCCCATTCTGTAGGTTGTCTGTTTGCTTTCGTGATAGTTTCCTTGGCTGTGCAGAAGCTTTTTAATTTGATCAGATCCCATTCATTTATTTTTGTTGTTGCCATGATTGCCTTTGGGGTCTTCTTCATAAATTCTTTGCCTAGGCCAATGTCCATAAGAGTTTTCCCAATATTTTCTTCTAGAATTCTTATAGTTTCATGCCTTAGGTTTAAGTTTGTTATCCACTGTAAGTTGGGACTAAGGATGATATTTTACTTGACAGAATTATTTATTGAATATAATTTACTGAAATAAATGGAGGTAAATGATTAGCATGCTTTTAGAGATGAAAAGAATCTTATAGCTCATTTTATAATTCAGGAATAACCTCGGACATATTGAGGTACCTGTCAATATGTTTTTTAGCAGAAACAAAACCCCAAGTCTCCTACAGCCCAGTCTATCATAATGCATTTCCTTCACATATTCAGGGTTTACTCACCTGGTGACTGTTGTCTCCTCATAGTTATATGTAACAAACTCTAGGATGAAAACACTGGAGGCTTGCCACACAACATGGGTTAAAATCCAAGCAATACCACTTTTAGATATGGGACTTTAAGCAAGTTATTTCCTCTCTCTATTCTTCATGATCCTTATCAGCAAATCAGGATAATAATACCTTCATCACAGAACCAATGAGAATACCTTCATCATGGAACTAATGTGAGGATTAAGCAAGATAATATGCCCCTTTAGACCCATTGATAAATATCAGCTAAATATTGAAATTATATGGATAATAATATTATAATTAAGACAATAGTGTTCCTTATGA